CCCTACCCGCTCTGGGACTATGTTCAACAATTGTTCTATTCATCGTTTCTTTGGGATGAATTTGTAGCAAAAATTAATATAAATTTTTTTTTTTTTTTTTTTTTTTTTTTTCTTTAAACGTTTGAATAATTTTTTTTTTAATTTTATAAAATATTTCCTATCCGTAACGATCCGAAAAAGAGTTCAAACATATGAGTTAGGTAATCGTCTAGTTCAATAAACCAAACAAATTAAAGAATTTGTTTCTCAGGTGCATCAATTCAATAACCCTATGTTAGTTACGCCAGCTATTGATCGTACAATCTCGGATGCTGTTACTAATGAAATTGTATTCGACTCAATGCTACCCCAACCACATGCCATGTTAATGACCCGACAAAATTCCTTAGATCATCCAACTTTCCAAGAGACTAACCTCGCTGCTTCAAGCTAACACCTGTCGACCTAGTTCTAACTGGAATCAATCCAATTGTAGAATTCTGAGTCAACCTGTTGTGTAAGCTCGCCACAAGGTATTCTCAAATAGTTGGTTGGTATTTAATCCCGTGAAAGCCAGTTCACCCTTTCGATGCTCGGACTAACATTCGGTACCCTCTTTGATCCATAATAGTTGTATACAGGAACATCAAAAGCAGTTAACTCGCGGTAGATTCTCGGTCCCGCCAACAATCTGTTTCGCCAGTCAATTCTACTTGATCCCTGGACACGAAAAGGAAAAATTTTGTTTTTCACCATAAAGCTGGAACTGAAAATGAAGCACTAATTCAATCCCTAGACTATCTAGGCTCTTGAGCTTAGCTGCCCCACGTTGGGCGCCAAAATATGTAATGTACCAAACCCCTTTATGCATATAGCACAGTGCAGACCGTAGCGTGAGGCCGGTCTTAACGTTGGACGTTCCCTGAGTATCCTGTTGGCAGTGAAGAAGGTCGATGGGACACAGCTAGCAAAACAGCCTGTGGGGGGGTTCTTGACCCATTCCATCTCCAACCTCAGAGTACACATTTAATAATGTCCCTTGCCTTAATGTTTACTTCCATCGATCAACGCAATGCAAAGTGCAACGCGACTCACAACGAATGAAAAATGATTAACTTTGAACCAGACTCTACTCTCTTCAAATTCTCACTAATACACCCATCCCATTGAGATGTGTGGACAGTGAGTCTGCTTGATGGTATGCAGTAACGCGTCTCAACCCTCCCGACCATTGAGCTTTTCTGCGCGCAATAAATATTCGAAAAAACTCCCAAAAACGATATCTCTTCTCCCTCTTCTTCTTCACATTACTTCAAGGAAATATTAATTATTTTATTTACTCCATAATTTTTACACAAAACTTAATACTTGAAACCATTATATTTAATCTTCATAACTCATTTAATAAGCCAATACCACTTAAATACTTCATAATAATATTCTTTTGCTTTCACAACTAGACTTTTATACCCTATTTTCATTATTATTGCTCAAACAATTTCTTTGATAAATTCTATTCTTACTAATTTGTAATCTCGTTGCTTTTGCTCATGTTCACTTTCACATATACAACCGCTGAAAGAAGTTTTAATTAAATAATAACATAATATATAAAAATTAATAATAATATAGAAAAATCAGTTTAATGCAAATATATCATAAGGGGTTAAGGTTTTCTTGTATCAAAGTGAAACCAATAAAACGAGGAAAGTCAGCAAACGCAAAATCAAAACAAACACGCGACAAATCGGTGCAGGTGCTTTGCGGATTGCATCGTTATCTCTGTTAACTCTCTTTCTTCACCTCTTCTTTCGGTCACACACTCTATCTCACAGAGACGGGTATGTCGGTTTCCACGTTTTCTTTTACATGGTTAATTTCTTTTGGTTTTTATTGATTGTTTTTATTCGGTCTGTTGGACTCACCCAGATTTATCGTAGAAGGCCTTCTAGGAGATCGGTTTGATTTTATGATTGATTTTAAATTTAGGTAATTAGTTTGGGGTGATAGAGCATTACAAGTCTCGCTTCACTGGGTTATTTTCACTCTGCCTTTTCACTCACTTTGCATGTCTTAGTTACTTTACACTTTATTCTTTTGTCCGGTTGTACATGTGTTAGTGATCTTGAACGTGCCTATTCGTTTACATGTCTTCTTTTTGATGTAATTGCGAATTTCTTTTAATCAACCCTAAATTTTCACTAATTCACTAATTCCTGCTGCTTCGCCTTCTTCTGTTTGTCTCCGGTATTCCGTTTTCCAAACGTTCTGCTCCGGTCGTTAACCCTGCTCTCCCGCTAATGACAATCGAACAAACTCAGACTGCGCATATGTAACGTTGCTGCGGCTGCTGGTCTGCCAAAGAAAGTTGCGTCGGGGAGCTCGGCCCTTTCCACGGGTTCTTCTGCCCCTGACTTGACCCTGATCTGGTCTATGAGGAGAGGTTAGGTCAGAAAATTGTCTTGGACTATAAAAACCCCTTATTTCTCACCTTTTTCTTTAAAACCGTGTGTATTATTTTCCTTCGCTATGTTTTTGTTGGGCACAGCAATGTTTTAAAAGCGCCTGCTTTGAACCAAAATCTGTTCTGGAATACAGTCTTATAAATTCCATGTGACTCCCTACAATCTTCCACGAAATATTTACCTGGCCGAACTATACACCACTTTCAAAACAATTCTTCACGAAGATTTATTTAAAATTCCCACGGATGCCTTAAATATTTCGAGATTGCTCTTTGAATATTTAGGACTTATACTATTAGCCTGGGTTAAGCGCGTAATTGGATTTTGATACGAGAAATTAGGTCTGGTCAGTTACGCTGGTACGATCAAATAGGAAGAGAAAATTCGCTGAGCTCGACAAGAACCTATTCTCGCTCCACCCAAAACGATCGAGTTTACGAGCTTTCTTCCCAGCTGACTGTGTTGTGAAACTCGCGAGTGTATCTCCTAACGTAATGAGCTTAAATTTCCCGCCAAATCGATAACAATTTATACGAATTCTACGAAAAATTAAAAAACAAATTTTTCTCTTTTTTTTGAGAACCATGCACAGCACATCTTCAGCAACGAAACTACATCCCTCGAATTCCCTCACACTGTCATTCAGCATGGGTTCAATCTTGATTTTCGGCACATCCTGATTGGATTGCGCGCGAATCGCCAGAGACAATTGCTCGTGACTTTTTTCACATCTTCGCTTGAAACGGTACGAGCATTGGGCATCGAGGATACAGGACATGCATATTTTCTGCGGAAGCTTATCCCCGCGTTCGATTTGGACGTCGGCACATGCCATCACCATGTCGGCGAGAATCGGATCTATTTCTCCCTCCCATTTGCCACGCTCACGCTCGTCAAATATGCCAATTAGAGTCACGGAATGCGTCCTGCAAATTCGACAGAGGTCCTCCATGTTTCTGGCACGAACCACGTTACTTTTTGGCTTTAAACATTGAGCCCGTTCCACCTTTTGCTGTTTAGTTTATTGTTTGTTGATATCAGATTTATCGATAAAATAAATTTAAGAAATATACCGAAATCAAGCTAATCATCGCTGAAATATACCGAGGAAAAAACTAACTTAACCCACATAACGTACTATTTAAACTGGCTCTCACCTGATTGATGTACACATTTTTCATATTTAATCATTCCAAAACTTGTTCTCAGAGGGTATACCTTTTCATAAGATATTATAACTTTGTTTAACGGAATTAGTCACAATTTTTGTATCTCCTTTTTCTTAATATTTTGATATCTACTTGCTCCTCTCACACGCAATACACTCTCGCATACAGATCGCAACTGTTTTATTCCGTTATGTGTACACTCTCATCAAATCCTTCTTTCAATTGTTTTCTCCTCTCTCTGCAACAACAACAATGAAGTTAAACTTTGTTGTTTCTGTCTTCCCGATCGTGTCGATTCACAATCCCGAGCATTTCTTCCAGCTCGCAAACATGACACATGTACACTCGTGACTCAAGGGGGTAGACTGACAAGTTTTGGCTGGAACAATTAATTGGTAATATAATATTGTATTCGATTTTTATTCTCAAATATACATTTTATCGAATTCAGTCAATGTAACTAAGTTCCAAACTTCAGAATTTGGGAATGAGTTCATCTGTAATAGAAACTTGCTTAAATTTGATCAATAATTTCACTCCAGGGCAAACACTTACCAATTCCTGCTTTAGTTCATCTCTTTCTGATAACAATTATTAAATGCTCTGCATAAAATTTATCTTGACTATCGCCAGGTACTAAATCTAGACACTCCAGGGTGTTTGCGTACTTTGCAATAATTTCACCAATGTTTTCAATGTGACATACAATGGAAAGCAATGATGACCTTTTGATCTTCGGAAATTGACATCTAATCGAATTTCGAAATACTGAAGTGACAGCTGTTCCAATTCAGGATAAAAATAATCCAATTTCAGATTTGATAAATATTCGATATTCTCAACAGTCAATTCGCGAAGTTTCTTTAAATGGGAGCATATTTCGAAAATATTTAGTATGTCGTACGATTTCACTTCCAATTTTTCCAAGTGAATCCCAGAATCTCCAGAATAAGGAATAACTGTGCTGCTTAGTTTTTTGGCTTTGTTTTGAATCCATATATCGGGTAGTTAAAGAGAATAGGGTATATTCGTTTTGTGTAGACTATGCACATATGTATATATGTGTTATACACATTGCTTATATGTAAAATACCCAACAATTTTGCTGGCTTGGTCGCTGTGTGTGCTGAAAGTTTTGTGTGAAGTAGTGCCTCAGTTGTTAGATTGAAAATCTAAGTCTAAGGACGGCTACGAACACTTATTTTGCAAATGGTATATCTCTTTTCGCAGCAAAGTTAGCAAAGTATAATGTCATAGCACCATTGTTAGAGATGGCCCTTAGTCAGATATTTTTAAAGTCACACTTAGAAAATTAGATCGTTATCGCACTTTTGAGCGCTGGTTACGCTTCAGATTTGCATCGTGTCCAATTGAATTAAAAGTTTGACGATCAATGTTTGTTTCTAGCTAACCATTGAGCGTGAAACATGTCCATGTTGCTCTTTTTGCTGCTGGTTTGGCAAGTCTTGCCACCGGGATGTGTTTGGGCTCAAAAGGTTTTGCTTATATTATAGATTCTGTAACTATTATCAGCAACCTAAAGTTTATCCCAACAGCGCCTGAACATGACAGTTCTGTACGAGTCTCTTTGTATGGATTCTGTAGATTATCTGACAAGTTTTCTACCTATTTTCAAAGAGTTAAATGGCTACATCAACCTGAACTTAGTTCCCTACGGCAAAGCTTCGGTAAGTAAACTAAACTATGTACAAAATACAAACAGATATATCCATGTCTCACCAGGAAGGAGGAAAATTTTGCCAACATGGTCCTAGAGAATGTAAGGGAAATAGTATTCAGGATTGTGCTCTTCATACCAGCATGTCCCAATTGGAAAAACTGATCTACGTTACGTGTCAGATGACAAACGACAAATTTGTGACTGAGATAGATACAAATTGCATAAATTCTTCGGATACCAAGCAGTCGATTACAGAATGTATGGGTAAATATGGGAACCGAAAGATATATCAGAGACAGTCCGGCAGAATCACTAGCATGTACGAGTTCAGTCAAATTCCGGCCATAATATACAATGACGTAGGTACTATCAGCAGGCGAAAATATATTTGCTCTAATGTGTTAAAACCTTTTTAAGCGATTCAATGAAAGTCTTCAAGATGAGGCCACTGAGGAGGTCAAAAAGAGTATCTGCATTGCGATAATAGAAACTGGAATGGAAGAGCCAACTTACTGTTCGAACGGAACGCCATAAATTAAATTTGCACGGTGGCCGTGAAATATTGTTATTATTTCTGTACAATTAAACATGAGCTCTTTAGTTGGTAGCGTTGTTTATTCTTATAAAAATGGGGAGTGGCCACGTGAATATAATTTTAACTGTTTTATTGATATTTTTGGTATGGCAAGGCATCAAATACCATCAATCGATCCTGAGAAATATATGCAAGCAGAGTCATTTCCAATTGAAACAGGTGAGAGGATATCGATTAACGTCTTGGCGTAACGGTCTTCGATAGACAGCAAAGGGGGAAATACAAAACTGTTTATCGGGTGCTAAAACAGGTATCAAAACTGTTTACCATAGCCCTGTCCCATTGTTGGCTTAAGGTGTGGACCCGGGAATATATCTTAATGTTTGTAAGCTTCAACGAAATAAGCTGACTCAAGAAACCGGCTTACCAGCGAGAATGCTAAAGAGAGACGCCCAACATGCTCTGCTCATGTCTGGTCTTCTGGTGCTGGCCGAAAATAAGCACCCAAATGTGACAAAACTGCGCTCAGTTGTTGAACTAAAATCGAATTCGACGGTCGCATAATATTGGACTTAGCTTGGCATTCACCTGAAGGCAACCACCGTGCGTACGAACAAATAAACGGTCATTCTCGAACGGAACCAATCGAAGGCCAATCGATTTTCGCTGATATAGCTCAAAATATTTGCCCAATATGATGAAATTTCGCACTGCCCTGAGCTTGAGTCTCCTCCTAGGGTTCATGCTGACCCTTAGCTGCTGTTCTAAGCTGGAGGAAATGCCCCGAAATAAACGTCAGGCAGATAAGGTTATATTCTGGGCGCTGTTACCTCTCAAACTCCCGACTCATCATTGATTTCAATTGAATCCCACCCCAGCTTCACATCACGTTGCTGTACGAGTCCCTCTGTCCGGATAGCAGGAATTTCATGCATCAGCTGGGGCCTGTCCACGAGGAGCTACAACAGTACATGGACATCCAATTGGTGCCATTCGGAAAGTCCCAATCCGAACAGGGCGGCGCCATCTTCCACTGCCAGCACGGACCAGCCGAGTGCGAGGGCAATCGGGTCCAGAGTTGTGTCATCAGCAGCACCGCCAATCAGTCGGCTCAAGTGAAATTCGTGGTCTGCCAGATGTTCGCCTTGGATTCTTCTCGCGCTGATCAGGTATGTGCGATGGTGAAAGCCGCGGCTCAGTGTTTGCCCAAATGATTAACAAGCATTTGCATATACTCGTACATTCATATATCCCAATGTCCCAACGAGCAGTGTGCCAGAGAGGCGGGTCTCCTCACCGACGTGGACCACTGCGCAGACAGCGAGACGGGCACCAAGCTGCAGCTGCAAGCGGAGCTGGTGACCAAATTATATCAGCCAAGCTTCATTCCCACCATTGTCTACAATGGCGTAAGTACTCTCAATCTTCGATCGCCGGACCCAATGTAATCGATTGAAGCATTTAACTGGTTTCTCGTTTCGTTTCGTTTTCGTTTCCACTTGCAACAGGTATTCAATCAGCAGCTGCAGGACCATTCGCTTCGCGATTTCCGCGGCACGGTATGCCATTTGTTGCGTCAACAAAACTTGCTACCCAGCGGCTCCCCAGTCTGCCAGTAAAGCCCAGCCAGTCTAGTAAATGTACAACATACAAAACAATGTATAACTGCCACAACTTTGGAATTAAATTAAAATTTCAGAAACTGGTTCTGTTCGCCGCCCGGCTCAAGCAAGAACATCTTATATGTGTAGGGGGTACGATACTGATATTGCGAAATAGACACAGACTTTTCAGATAATAATTTATATTGGTACATAAGATACAGTTCATCAATTACAATCCAATCGTGTGATATATATTTATAGTGCCTATGGCTTCTAGTAATATTTACAATATAAATTCAATAATTTCGATGAGGGATGCGAATTGGGGGAAGCATAATATATACATATACATACATACATATATATGTATAATATTCGTTAGGTCTTCCTCTGATGATGAACCAACAACAAATGACTTATCCGCTACTTGCTAAGTGATAATGGATAATAGACTACAACTAGGAATTAAATTTCTTGCACTTTTTGTATTTGCTATGGTCGCTGACGGGGTGGTGCGCAGAAATAACAATTTGTAAACGGGTTTCCTTTGTGTTAAAGCATTCTCTCTCTCTTCCTCTGCCGGGGACTCAGACTGCCGTGCCCGAAGCCTTGCCGGCTCCTGCTGCAGCTGTTGCTGCCTTCGCATTTAGACTGAGCGAACGGCGTGGAGCCGGCTTTGGTGGTATCTGCGGCTTGACGGGTACCTTCACCAGGGACATGGCCATGGCCATGTGTGGCGGCTCATTGTTGGCCTGGACAATGCGCTCCTTCTCCTGGAACTCCACGTAGCCGCTCTCGTCGCTATCGGAGCCATCGTCGGGCATGTTCTGGTTATTCCTGCCGGCCGGCTTGTCGGCCATATCCAGGTCATCGCTTGTGGAGTCGTCGCTGCGCTTCAGCGTGATGCTGCTGGAACTGCTGTAGTTGGTGGCATCGCTGTTATTGCGCAGCTGCTGCTCCAGTCTTTGGTAGATCATCATTTGCTCTAGCACCTGCGACTGCTCCAACTCCTGTCCGGGTCCCTGTCTCTTGGTGTACTCCTCGTGATTTGCGTTTGTGACTGTGCTGGCCGTCTCGCAGCCGCTGGATATTGAGCCCTCATCACTGTCCGGACTTGCCAGGCCCTGCTGGTTCCCGGATCCCGTGCCGGCCGCCGCTGAGGTGCTGGCCGTCGTCGAGCTGGATGCATTGGAGGAGATGGAGGACTGCGTCTGATGGCGATACTGAAGGCTGGCCTGATCACTGGGTCTTAGCTTGCGCATGGAGCTGCGGTGCAGCATTGTCAGCATAGCGGCATGCCGGAAATAATGATCATCCGCATCGTCCAGAAAATCCTCCTCGCCGTCGCTGCAGACGCCGCTGCGCCGCATGGCGGGCAAATCGTGCTCTTCCGTATCGTAATCGGCCTGGGGATCGGCGCTGGGGTCGCTGTTGATGGTGGGCAACAGACTGAGCGGCTCTCCGTCCTCCTCCTCGTCGGCCTTCAGCTCGCTGAGGCTGACCATGCTCTGGCTGCTGGTCTTGTGGAGCTGCATGTCAAAGTACGGCAACAGCTCGTTGCTCAATGTCGTGTCGAACTTCAGCAGCTTCTCAAAGTCATCCGAGTCGGAGCCATCGTTGCTGGCTGCTGGACAAATGGCCTCCTCCGCCTTGGGCGACTCCAGCGATTCCAGCTGATGGGAGCAGCATGGGACTTGGATCTTTCCAGTGCGTCGTATCGAGTGGCCGCGACGACAGCGACGCCGTCCCAGGGTCATGGCTGGGTACAAGGAGTCGCGCTGACAGCAGGCCGGCATCTCCGGCTCATTGGTGTCTTCGATCTCGTCGCCCTCCTCCTCGCCAATGGCCTCCTCGATGGCCATTAGCTTGGGCGCCGACTTGGAGCGTTCCAGCGGCGGTCGATAGTTGTTGCCGCCCACGCTCAGCATGATCTTACGGCGTGGCAGGCTCGGATTGTCGTAGACAGCATTGGCCAGGCTGAGGCGAGCGTTTTGCTTGAGAATTTTATCGCGTTTAAATTCACGCAAAGCGCTATCCAGATTCTCCTAAAAGATTGCAAAAAGATCAAGGATCAGTGAGTGTTTAAAAACGGAAGAGCAGGATGGATGACTCACTCTCAAGGTATCGCATATATCCTGGGCAATCTTCTCCTTGCTGCAGAGCACCGCATGGCAGCGCAGCTCGTGCTTCAGCTTCCTGCCCTCGTGCCGGTAGATCCAGCAGAAGACGCGCGGATAGTTCTTTGGGGCACAGCAATAGGTGATCCTATGGGCCCAGTACTCGGTGAGTCCGTGCTGCCGTGTGGTGGCCTTCAGGCCGGAGGCGCACACCTTCAGTCGCATGATCACATCCGGCTTCGTGTGTTGCGTGTAGTTGCGCCACAGCGTATTCAGTTGCTTCTCCACACAACCTTCACCTGCTGGAGGCACAAAATTAGTTTGGGAATTCATTGGAGACCGGGTAGAGTACTCACCTTTGGCCCAACCCGTTAGCACGTTGCCCAGGTACGACACCTTGAACTCCGGATCGGGTGTGCTGATGTCCACACTGTGGGTGCGCTTCCACAGTTTGCCCAGGCTGCGGGTCAGCGTCCGCATGGCCTTCGAGCTGCTGATCTGATCCTGCTGCTCCGGGTTACTGCTCTGGCGGCCCACATGCTCCTGCCGGCTGCCATACTGCAGATCCCGCGAGTCCGTGGTGAGGGTAACCACATTTGTGACCCTCACTGTCTCACTGTCGCCGGCGCCGGCTATGTCGCCATCCTCTTTGGACACCCGCTTGAAGCGCTCCAGATAGGGTCCCGCCCGGCCACGTCGGCCACTGTACGTGTTGAATTTGCACCCCTCGAGGCGCTTTTGTTCCTGCTTCTCGAACTTCTTGGCATTGTAGGTGTTGCCCAGCAATCGGGCCAGGCTGTTGCTCTTTACGAATTTATGCTGTCGCGGAGGTGTTCCAATGGGAACCAGCGGCATTGGTGTGGGTGTGGGTGTGGGTGGTAGGGTAACCTTACACTCCTTGGCCTTGTTCTTGGCCTCTTCCTTTGATTTTTTGTTGCTGCTGCTGCCAAAATGGAAGAGTGTGCGACGTTCCTTGGGTTTCTTCAGCGTGTTGTTGGTATTGGTGTTGCTGTTGGCAACATTTGGTTCGTTGTTTGGTGTAATTGTTGTTGGCGTAATTGTTGCTGCAATTGTTGGTGTTGCTTTGGTGTTAATCACCGCTTGACTGACGCTCCGCAGATCCTCATACTCATTGTTATTGTTGTGCGATGCCACAATAAAGTCCACCTCATCAGAGCCGCCGGCCTCCTCCATTGTGGGGGGTTCCATTGTGGAGCTTCTGTTGCTGCCTTCCATAATGATGATGTCTGTTGTTGTTGTTGTTTTAGCTTTATATTTTTGCGATCAATATCCGTATGTCATCACCATGTTAATATTGGAAAGATCTAAAATGAAACAGAGAGA